ATATATATACATATATATATATATATATATATATATATATATATATATATATATATATATATATATATTTATATATACACACACACATACACCTACTTACACACAAACACACAAACACACACACACACACACACACACACACACACACACACACACACACACACACACACACACACACACACACACACACACACACACACACATACACACACACACACATATATATATGTGTGTGTGTCTAGATGATTATATGCAACTGATTGGCTGATCGAAAGAGAGAGAGAAAAAAAAAGAGAGAGAGCAAGAGAAAGAGAGAGAGAGAGAGGCAAGCAGGCACACAAACAGACAGACAGATAGAGACAGAAGAAAAAAAAAAACAGAAACACAAACACAGAAAAAAAAAATTAACGAAAGCGAGAGAGAAACAAAATAATACCAATGCATAAGAAGAGGAAAAAAAGAAAAAGAAGAAGAAGAAAAAAAGAAAAAAAACGAAGACGAAGAAGAAGAAGAAGAAAAAAAAAAACGAAAAAGAAAAACAAAACTAGTCAGGCATTGGAGCTTGTCCGCACCGTGTAATTAGTTAGTTGTAGTCTGAGGCTTGTGAGAGACATCCATTGTTTCTCACGTCTTTCTTCGTGGGGAAGACAAGGACCGAAATGATTTCATGGCGGATGATAATGTGAAAAGAAATAATTACAATGATGATGAATGTGAAGATGACGATGGTAATGATCATGAAATTATCAATATTGGTATGATTTTTGTTATTATTATTATTATTATCATTATTATTATTATTATTATTATTATTGTTTTTATTATTATTATTATTATTGTTATTATTATTATTGGGATTATTATCATTATCATTATTACTAACATAACCATGATAATGATGGTAATAATAAGAAAAAGAATGATAATAATAATAATTATGATAGTAATGATAATAATTTATTATCTATATTATCATCAGTGTTATCATTATTATCATTGTCATTATCATTATTATTATTATTATTTTTTTTTTTTTTATTATTATTATTATTATCATTATTATTATTATTATTTTATTGCTATTATTATTATTATTATTATTATTATTATTATCATTATTATTATTATTATCATTATTATTATTATTATTATTATTGTTATTATTATCATTATTATCTTTATCGCCCTTATAGTTATTATTTTCATTACCTTTTTTATTATCATCATTATCATTACTTTTATGATTATTATTACCATTCTTATATTTTTAGCATTATTATATTTGATAATGATTATCATTAATTATTATTATCGTCATCATTATCATTATTATTATCATTATTATTATCATTATTATTATTATTTTATTGCTATTATTATTATTATCATTATTATTATCATTATTATTATCATTATTATTATCATTATTATTATTATTGTTATTATTATTATTATTATATTATTATTATTATCATTATTATTATTATTTTATTGCTATTATTATTATTATTTTTATCATTATTATTATTATTATTTTATTGCTATTATTATTATCATTATTATTATTATCATTATTATCATTGTCATTATCATTATTATTATCATTATTATTATCATTATTATCATTGTCATTATCATTATTATTATCATTATTATCATTGTCATTATCATTATTATTATCATTATTATCATTGTCATTATCATTATTATTATCATTATTATTATTATTAATTATTATTATTATTTTATTGCTATTATTATTATTATCATTATTATTTTTATTATACTCATTATTATTATCATTATCATGATTATCATTGTCATTATCATTATTATTATCATTATTATCATTGTCATTATCATTATTATTATCATTATTATTATTATTGTTATTATTATTATTATTATTATCATTATTATCATTGTCATTATCATTATTATTATCATTATTATCATTGTCATTATCATTATAATTATCATTATTATCATTGTCATTATTGTCATAATTATCATTATTATCATTGTCATTATTGTCATAATTATCATTATTATCATTGTCATTATCATTATAATTATCATTATTATCATTGTCATTATCATTATTATTATCATTATTATCATTGTCATTATCATTATTATTATCATTATTATCATTGTCATTATCATTATTATTATCATTATTATTATCATTATTATCATTGTCATTATCATTATTATTATCATTATTATCATTGTCATTATCATTATTATTATCATTATTATCATTGTCATTATCATTATTATTATCATTATTATTATCATTATTATCATTGTCATTATCATTATTATTATTATCATCATCATTATTATCATTATTATCATTGTCATTATCATTATTATTATTATTATCATCATTATCATTACTTTTATGATTATTATTACCATTCTTATATTTTTAGCATTATTATATTTGATAATGATTATCATTACTTATTATTATCGTTATCATTATCATTATTATTATCATTATTATCAATGTCATTATTGTTATTGCTATTACACTATTATCATTATCAATAATGGTAATAATGATGCTTATGATATTTATACAAAAATCCTAACGATTATATGGCAGTGTGTAATATTCTTGAAATATCATTGTTATCATCATAATTGCTAATTGAGCATTTGATCATTATTCTCACCAATATGAATTTGAAAAAAAAAATAAAATAAATACAATGTGATGCCATGAAAATTCAAAAGTTCTTTGATATATGTATGTGATCAGAGATATATAGCCTGTCAGCCTAGCATAAATACATATTCAAAAGTACAGATACCTTCAAATGCCAATAATGTTTTGGATGAGCTTCGTAGTTTGTTTATACAGGTATACAATTAACTGTACTCCACTTTAAAAGCACATATGTATGCAAATAAGGTTTTCTCTATCTATTTGTTATTTTTTTTTATATGTCTATTTGTCAGCTTGTCTTCTATGTCTGTCTGTCTGTCTCTCTTTCTCTCTCTCTCTCAAACTCTCTCTATCTCCTCTTCTCTCTTTTTTCTCTCTCTCTCCCTTTCCCTCTTTCTCAATCTCCACCTCTCATTCCTTCACTTCCCTCCCCCTTCTCTTTCCTCTCTGCCACACACACACAATCCCTACAAACCCAACACGCACACAGACACGCGCACTCACACACGCCTTTGCACATCCACGCATTCACACTTGTCCTCAAAACACCTACTCTGCTTCACACACCTGCAAGCACGCGGGGCAACCACTCTCCCTTTCCTGAAAGAGTTGCTCGTTCGTAAAATGGATGTTTCTCCTCTATTCAGACTTTTAGAATGACTCGTTGCGTTTCCTTGCAGAAGAGGTATGAGGCTGCTATTCAAACGTAGGAAGCTCCGTCGCTCCCTGGCACTGGCATTGGTGATATACAGCCTATTATCATGCTCAAGTTAGTTGGGCGGCATCGGGTGTAATGGAAAAAAGGGATGATAGTAAAGATGAAAATAAAAATGCTAATGCTTATGATCAGAATAATAGTGATAATGTTAAGGACTATGATAATAATCATAATAATAACAATAATAATAATAATGATGATAATAATAATGATAATGATAATAATAGCAATAATTATAACAACAACAACAACAACAACAATAATAATAATAATAATAATAATAATAATAATAATAATAATAATAATAATAATAATAATAATAATAATAACGACAACAACAAAACATCAGTACTACTTCTACTAGTACTGCTTATGATAATTATAACAATAATGTCAACGAATATAATCATTCTCTTTGATATTTGCATTATCATTATTACTATTATCATTATCATTATTATTATATTGTTATCATTGCTGTTGCTGTTGTTTATTATTGTCATTATTATCACTATTATTATTATCATCATTATCATCATCATTATCAATGTCATTATTGTTATTGTTATTATCATTATTATTGTTATTATTATTGTTATTATTACTCTTATTCTCATTATTGTCATCACAATCATCATCATCAATGTCATTAATGTTATCGTTATTACTGTTATTGTTGTTATCATTAATAATGTTATTATTATTGTTATTATTACTGTTATCATCATCATCATCATAATAATAATAACAATAATCATCATCAATGTCATTATTGTTATTGCTATTACACTATTATCATTATCGGTATTGTTTTCTATTATCATTATCATTGTTATCAGCATTATCATTTTAAACTTGCATTAATTAAAAATAAAAATGCCAACAGTGAATAAGAAATTTCAAAAGGAAAATATATTCATAGGCAACATCCCGAGAAAAAGAGAGAGAGAGATAGAAATATATGTGAATGTATATATATATATATATATATATATATATATATATATATATATATATATATATACATATATATATATATATATATATATATATATATATATATATATATATATATATATATATATATATATATATATATATATATATACACATATATATATATATATATATATATATATATATATATATATATATATATATATATATATATATATATATATATACATATATATATATATATATATATAGAGAGAGAGAGAGAGAGAGAGAGAGAGAGAGAGAGAGAGAGAGAGAGAGAGAGAGAGAGAGAGAGACAAAGAGACAAACAAACAGACAGGCAGATAGACAGACGGATAGAGAAACGAAAGCAAAGAACGAGAAGAGAAAAAGGCATGTTAATAGCATTGCAACATCTCTGCCATGCCCATAAAGTAAGAAATAAAATCCCGTGACTTATACCACTCTGTGTTATAATCACAGGTAATCTATGTGGTTTTATTTTAAGAAATGACTAGGGATCACAGTTGGCTTTGGTCGAATTGATGCCTGAAGCGTGCAGCTCGCCTCTGACCTTGACACAGAACCGGGTCAGACTCCCTTGAAAAAAATGAGAGTTCAAATAAGGTGACCCAAGAGGAGACTTACCGGCCGTGTTTAGCTTGGGGCTCTCGTTGGGGGTTTTGGCAGCCGGGCGAGTCCAAGTGGAGGGTTTGTCTGCCTTCGCTGCTGGAGAAAGAGAAAGAGAGAATTTGTTAGGGAAGAAGGGGAGACTCGCTTTGGGAGAATTGGAAGAAATTGGAAAGTGAATAGTGATGAGGGAGGGAGAGAGCGAGAGTAAGAAAGAGGGGGATAGATATAGTTAGAGATAGGGGAGAGACAGAGAGAGAGAGAGAGAGAGAGAGAGAGAGAGAGAGAGAGAGAGAGAGAGAGAGAGAGAGAGAGAGAAGATGATAGAGAGAGAGAGAGAAAGAGATAATGACAGAGAGAGAGAGAGAGAAAAAAAGAGGTAAGTGGTTTAAAAGAATTCTTATCCAAGGAAAAGCAGAACAGAAATCCCATTTAAGGGAAAACATTAAAGTTAAAAGACAACAGACTGTAATATCCTCTAAAAGTTTCCTATATATAGCAGCTGTGCACCAGGGAAAAAAATCCATGATAAAGCCCCAGGGGTATCACACGAGGTCAGAGGCTGTGAAGTTCACAGAAGGGTCATTTTAAAAATGTCATGGGGGAAGAAAATGGAAATGTGACATTTATGTAAGTAATTATAAGTTAGACAGCTTATACAAGTCAGTTGTTGGTGATATGATCAACAATGGAAATAATGTAGATGATGCAGAAAATGTGGATAAATAAAGGATGCTTTCCATATCATAATTAAGGCTTTAAATAAAGTTCATCCAAACAATATACTTTTACACTGTCCACCATATTTTTTTTCGAAAATAGTAATGCTTTCTCTTTTGCTGTCGTCTTTTACATTTTCAAAGAAACGTCATTTGTCTGTTTTATACTTCCATGAAGTTGGAATCTAGAAAGTCAGTATGGTTATATATACTGACGACTTATCTTTGAAGATTTGAGGAAGAGAGGAAAAAGGTTTGAAAATTGATCTTTGTGACTCGAATGAAGGCATCGTATATGTGTAAGTATATGTGTAAGTAAATTATATAGATAAACTCACACATCCACACACACACACACATACATACACACGCACAAACACACACAAACACACACACACACACACACACACACACACACACACACACACACACACACACACACACACACACACACACACACACACACACACACACCTACACACACACACACCTACACGCAAATACACACGCTTAGTCGCACGCACACACATACACATGTGTATGTGTATGTGTGCGTTTGTGTGTGCATTACGGAGAAATGGAGAAATGAGACAGAAGTGAGATAAAGAGAAGTGGAAGGAGGAAGCTAAACGATCCCAAATAAAAAGAAACGTGCAAGACTGGAAGAGACGAATAAGCACAGACAAGCGGAAGCTTCATTGGACGAGATAGGAAGCCCAGAAGTTATAGACGAAGAAGGAAAAAGAGTAAGGCCTGATGAAAGAAGGAAGAAAAACATAGATAACAATAAATCGGGATGGAAAGGGTACAGAGAAAGACGACAATGTGTGAAGTGAAATCTGATAAATTGGAAAGGAAGGGGAATGGAAAGAGGAAAAGAATGAAAATAAAGATAGGGAGATTAAAAGAATCGAAAACACTGAAGCATAAAAAGAAAGAAAAAAGGAACCGAGAAGTGGATGAAAGAAAGAAGAAAGAATCCAGAGTTGGGAAAGAGAAAGAATTTGTACTTAGTATGGGGCATTGGGAGTAAAGAGTGGAAGACTCGAAGAGAGAGAGCGAGAGAGAAAGATTGAGAGAGAGAGCGAGAGAGAATGACTGAGAGAGAGAGAGTGGGAGAGAAAAAGAAGGTGTGAGAGAGAGAGAGAGAGAGAGACAGACAGACAGACAATGATAGAAAGAAAGAGAAAGAAATAAAAATAGAGATAGAAAGACAAACAAACAAGCAGACCGACAGACAAAGATAGACAGACAGGCAAAGAGAAAGAGAGACAAAAATATAGATTAATGGCAAATGCGCTGACACAGTGACAGCTTGACAAGCTAACAGACAGTGTGACAAATCGACAGGCATGCAGGAAAGTCGACAGATAGACAAAGGCACAAATAAACCGAGAGACATACAGAACGATAGGCAGAGAAAGAGAGAGAGAGAGAGAGAGAGAGAGAGAGAGAGAGAGAGAGAGAGCGAGAGAGAGCGAGAGAGAGAGAGAGAGAGAAAGAAAGAGAGAGAGAGAGAGAGAGAGAGAGTGGGAGAGAGCGAGAGAGCGAGCGAGCGAGAGAGAGAGAGAGAGAGAGAGAGAGAGAGAGAGAGAGAGAGAGAGAGAGAGAGAGAGAGAGAGAGAGAGAGAGAGAGAGAGAGAAAGAGAGAGAGAGAGAAAGCGGGAATAAGAGCGGCCTGAGGAGGCTAAGTGGTGGGCGGACCCGAGCGGCGCTGTCTGATCCTTAGAAACGGGATAAGAGAGAGAGTGTGCGGCGGATTCCAAAACTTAGGGCGTCACCGGCGGCATCAGGGTGCT